CATAATTTGGACTCGATCATAATTATTTGCTAAAATACCTCTAAAACACTATAGTTGAAATTACAACGAAATTACTTAATCTATATCCTTGGGAATCACTCAAATATATACATAACATCGATATTCATAATTTACTTACTCATTATTTTGATTACTTAAATCAATTTTTTTTAAATATTTTAAGATTCTTACAATTTCTAAGTGGTTTTAATCGTCGCGGGTGCTCCGCAATTTTAGACCTTAAGACGGCGTTTTTTAAGTTTTTATAGAAATTATGTATTCACTCGGATCAGTAGGGCGATAGCCCGGAGCCGATGTGTCCTCTTAACGTTAAAGTTACAACCGATATACGTCCCACCGCTGGACACTGGCCCCTCTTTTCTGAGAGGGTTTTAGGGCAAGGAACTCTCCGCCGCGCTGTCACAATGTGTGTTGGCGAACTTGATATGACTTCGAAATATTTTTCCTTATTACTCAGACATGCAAGTTTCCTCACAATGTTTTCCTTCACCGCCGAGCACGTAGTTAATCAGAACTTAAATTTGCAATTAACAATTTCATTGGTGCCGGCAGGGATCGAACTCGGGTTGCTCGCGTACTGTGAAATTTACAGAGTGCTTAGCCCCTTAGCTACCACGGCGTAAAAAATAAATACGATTATTTTATTCTAATCAGTACTGCAGAATACCTTCGTGTCTTTTATATAGAGGAAAAAATCAAGATTTTCATGTAAACAATCTATATATGAAAATGTAGCCGTGAAGGCTTCGGTTCGTTTTGCTTGTGGCGCGCTATCGCGCACAAAAGCAATGAAACTAATTTTTTTAACGTGGTTTTGCCACACTGAATCTGTACTAATATCGATACTGCACGAATAGGTCGAGGTTCGACCGGGGAAAGACCACGCTCTCACAAAATACCGGCGTAAAATAATAGTTTAATGCTGCTGTGTTTTCCATGGTGAGTGTAGAGATTCGTAGATGCTATTTACCTACCTCATCTCATCGCGTGGACATTGTGCTCGTTTGTCACCCTTACCAAAAAAATAATCGGTGACGCGTTCATGATTATAAATTGAAATGATAGCGATAAAAAATACTGTCATGAGGACTTGAAATAAAATTAGGCTTTAATGTGAATAATAACTTAATTTCATCATATCCTTGTAATTTTGAATTCTCTGTAATTTGCGATTTTGTGCATTATTTATACTAGTATACTTGTATACTGGCTAATAAGGAAAAAGAGAGTTACTATTTGCGTGTTTTAACACACGAAGGTAGGGTTCCACATAGCATATTCGCATAAAGAGACGGACGGAAAGAACGTGTTATTTTTGATTATGACTTCACACGTGGAAACAATGCGTCTCAAACTTGCCAGCAAGTTAATTTTTAATTTTGAATTCGGAATGCTATGTTCGTTAAAATTTATTTTAAATGTTCACTTAAAATGTTAACTAAGTCCAAGGAAAATAAAAAACCGATTTTCCGTTTCAAGCTGGAAAAAATCAATGGAGATTTGAACGTAGTTGGGAAGTTAAGGAGCGAGACCGGGTTTTCTAATATGAAAACTATTAGAGAGCGAATTTGGTGAAACCCTTGTTTCAAGTACAAAGAAATGTGAAAAATATATGTGTATATATAATCTCGAAAATATTATGGATGAGATACTAAATTATGTTCAGATAGTAGAGTTTAAGTCATACAGTCGTGTCGCGAAAAAGTTAATTTTTTGACCGATAAACGCCGACTTACACCGTACGTTTTTGCTTGTTGCATGCAATAAAGCAAAAATTATCATGCGCTATCTAAACGATGTGTATCATATACGTATGTATCAAATACCTTCCCATCACATCATCATTACACCCTCACAGTCCGCCCCCAGCAACTCCTAACAACTTCCTTCTTACCAGTTCACTCCATCATGGACTCCATCTTTGTTCTTCAGTGGAGTTGAATTCTAAACTATCACTAGTGTAACAGCACCATAACAAAACCAAGTTATTAAGAACAACCTTTAATTTTTTTTTAAATTTCAAATTCAAAAATCTGAAAGCAAACTATGATGAACACTTGCAATACTTGAAGTAAATCAAAAATTAGTTTATTAACTAGACAAAATTAAAAAAAAGTCTTGTCGTTTCACCACCATTCAAGAATGTTTATGGTGTAAATATGTGTATGTGTGTATATTTATACATTAATTGCTTTTTTAAAGATGTCAGTACCCGAATGGCCGAGCTTTGCTTGTTTTTTTTGAAATTACATTTAGAATTAGATACAAATTACATACAGATGAATAATATTTTTTGATCTTATTGACATAATAGAAAAAAAACTGAACTGAACTATTTGAATAAAAATATCATGAGTGCAATTAGTTTAAATAAAATTTTCGAATTTTTAAAAACACTAAAAAAAGGGCTCGAAATAATAGATTTTCTCACAAAAGAAGGGAACTTGAAAAAAAAAGGAAAAAAAATCGGACCGAAGACAGGACGCGAACCAAGGTATTACGATAACGCGAACGCTCGATATCCAGTTAAGCTATTACGATTATTAACAGTGTCAGTCATTTACCTTCTTATATTGTAGCAGTTTTTTATTGCCTGAAAACACGTACAAAAAGACATTTTCTAAAAATAAATCCTAGCTAGATCGATTTATTGCCCCCGAAACTCTCTGGACACTAAATTTTATTAAAATCGTTGGAGCCGTTTCCGAGATTCCGATTATATATATACAAGAATTGCTCGTTTAAAGGTATAGGATAAGGGACAATTAACATCGTACAAGTTTCTTGTCCGTTGCATACAAAAAAAGTTAAAGCAATAATTAACCTGCACCGGTTATACAATGTGTTGAAGAAATTGTACATTATAAATGGGACATGACTGTAAAAAAAAGCTTGTTTCAAGAAATGTACTGTCCACCGATGAAAATCTGTTTACGTACTTTCTGAGGCACAGCACCGCTAGTTTCCTGACTCTGGGCTGCTAATGGGTATTTCTTAACAGAAAAAGCTAATCACTGATTTGGCCCGACTCGGGATTCGAACCCGAGACCTCATAATCAGCAATCGCGTTTACGACCACTGGACTTACAAGCCTTCCTTCTTTATTGGGTAGTTACACATAAAAAGGCAACAATATTTAGTGGGAAAAAACAAAATTTTAGTAGAAAAAAAGTATTAAATGAACGATCTTATTTGAAGGCTTCCACTTCAAATAAGAAGATCGTTCACTTAATATTTGTAAATAGCATGTAGGCGGAATAACAACGCTGTTGTTGGGAAAGGATAATTTTGTTACGTCACTGTCTCCGTCAGGCATTATGTTGTCGAAAACAAGTTTGAAAAGCTCTAGCGTATTTCCTGCTCATTTGCTGGCACCGTGCCATAATACGGTATTCTGAACCTTGCTTAATTAATTTTGTTTAGCACCGATACTTGTAGGCAACTATCAACGATAAGTGTACATTTAGAAATATCGTAGCTTAAGTAACAAATTACCGTGTAGTGGCGGTGTAAGAATATCAACTTCTCCATTCCTTCCCGTATTTGTTAGGCGACAGAGGTAAACAAATCAGGAGGTGGGCAGGAGCGTGTTCCTAATAACGACTAAAAATAAAAAAACTGCGGTTGCCAACCCGCTAGCCAAGCTTGCCAACTATAGCAAATATCCCTCCTACGAGGCAGTATATGGAGAAGGCCTGTGTTCAGGAGTGGGCTTTGTTACTTACCGTTACAATTGTCTGTATCGGTTAGTAACAACTATAGCAGTAGTCATTAGTAATGATTTATTAATACCTGGATTGACTTCTGACTGATTCTTTGACACTAACCCGAAATCTCTTAAGCGGTATCCTATGAAATAAGATCAGTATTATGTTCATCAAACACGTCCACCAGTTAATTAACTTGACTGCTACACCTTCAATTTTTTTCACAGTATAATGGTGACAAACTAGCACATATACCAACTGATGTTAAGTGGTTCACCTGTCCTAGGTTACGAATCAAAATGCAGATGCGTTGTCACCCATGAGGACTAAGATGGAATGCCTCGTTTCCAGTAAAAAGGGTCTCCGGTTCTCTACACTCACCATACGAAACATAGGCGCGTTAATCTGCTATTTTACGCTGGTATTCTGTGAGAACGTGGTCCTTCCCATTTCGACCCGACCCCTTCGTGCTTTTTTTTTTTTTTTTTGCGCCCGAAGCAATTAAAGGGCTACCCTATACGTAGGGAGGCGGAAAATGCATTACGCATACCACGATAGCCGGTCTATCGTGGTTATGAGGGGCTCACTGTCCTACCGGGGACCCTAAGTGATACCCTCTAAAAACCGCCTTTGGGGACAGGCAACCGGCTGATTAAGCTCTATTGTGCCTTATCATGAGCGACCCTCTTTTGGGAAAAGAGGGCGCAGGCGGCTAAGTGCCGCTGAGGGAGTGCCTACGAAGGCAAATTAATGTTAGATATTACAATAATTTTATTTAATTAGAGTTGGCCTGGCCGCCAGGAGACAGTTCAGGTCGTTTGAAAGTTTATTAGGCGGGTCCGAGAGAGAGTTTCTCGGCCTGCGGACACGATAGCGAGAGGGGGGGTGGGGCTGCATAAGAAGCTGCCTCACGAATTAAATGGTTTGGGTGCGACTCTGAGGCTTTGAAGAAGTTCTCAGAGAGTTTTTTAAGAAATTGTTGAATTGTTGGGAGCTCTAAGTCCCGATGAAGGTCGGCATTGCGGACCCCTTCGTGCTACAACTACACTACTAATATAGCTGCAGTAGGCTCTACCACGTTGTTTCTAAAAGCTTTATAAATGTTACTGTACCGGTAGTAATTAAATTATGTTGTAATGATATTTCAATGGATCTTAAAAACATTAAATGGTAATATTCCAAATTATTTTACCACCTTAATATATCAATATTTACATAGAGGCCTAACCATTTGACTCATGACTCGCAATACTAAATTATCCTTTTTTGTAGAGGCGGAAGGAACGCGGGCGCATTCCAACGTGTACCATTCATACTGTGGAGCACGCGCAATTGGGCGAGCTCAGCAAACAAATTCCGGACGAAGAGGGAGAAAAGAGCCCTTCATATAGGTACCCTTTTCAGGTATGCTTATTATCCTTTGAATTATTGTTTAAAGTCCTATCAGTGGCTTCAAGCCTTAACTTAATTTATTGATTGAGGCTCTTAATTGTTAACCTAGAGAATATTATATTGTAGAATATTGATTGACATTGTCATATTTATTAAAAAAATATGATAAAGTAAAATCGAATTCATGTATAACTGAAATTTATGTAGGTAACTTTCTTCTTCACGGCTTGTTTAATTGTCTAATTAGATGTAATTTAAAGTTACTAATTATAAATTGAATTTGTAGATTGTTGGGATATAAATATTATTTAACAAGTTTCTATACATGGTAGAGCCATGCTGCAGTTATATTACTAGTATAGTTCTAGCACGAATGGATCGACTCGACCGGGGAAGGACCACGCTCTCACAGAATACCAGCGTAAAATAGTAGCTTAAGACGAGGCATGACGCTAAATGCAAGTTTTATAATGCCTCAAAGTATACGATCCACTGCAGTAAACAAACTCAGAAAAATATATGATATTGTCCAGGATATATGCTAGTTAGATAGTGTGTTGAAAACATAATACCACTAATTTACTACAACAGAAAAAAAATCACAAACATACCTCTAAAAATTTCTTTTAACGAGTAAAAACCATACTAGTATACATGCAATCATTCTGATTTTTTGTCAGATTTTTATACATTCAACATATTAACGTTATAGTGTTTTAATTTTTTAGTCCAACTAATAGTTTTTTTTTAATCGCATATTCTTATTTCTGAAATAATACGTACGGATGTTTGCGTAAACGCCTGTGCAGTCACTGCCGGCCGAGGCCTGGTGCTGTAGAGACGATGTCGCTCTTTTTGCCGCAGTATTTACGTTAAGATTTTTTAAGGACGCGTTTACAAAATTTATATAGGTATATATGATATAGTTACACACAGGTGTACGCACGGTTGGCTGCGAGAATCATAGTCAAATAAAATTATATTGATAATTTGAAAGATCGAATTTGTTTTTGATTTCTTATACCTCAAAAATATACTTAGATACATAGAGTAATTAGATTTAGATACGAAATACAAATATCTACTCTAGAGACTGCTTGACACTCTCACCCTCTACTGGCAGTGAGATGTTAGCTGTGGATTTTAGGCTGGTTTTGTCAGTTATGATAAGACCTTACCTCCGGAATTGATGGAGTGACCAGTAGGTGAACTTCAGTAACTAATACTGGAACACCTGGACTAGTAGAACTAAGTGTGCCAAGTTTGGGCTCGTTTTGTTAGCTATGATGAGTCTTTACCTCCGGACTTGACGGAGTGACCTGAAGGTGTACTTTGATAATCGCTATTGGAACTGGTCGCCGAGTACTACTAGGTGTGCCGAGTTTGGGCTCGTTTTGTTAGGTATTTTATTTTATTTATTTTTTATTTTATTTATTAGGTTTACCAGTAATTGTAACAATAATACATCAATGAGTATTTAACAATAACATGTACAGCCAAATGCAAAATTAATTAAGGTAAACACCACATGCACAAAATATTAAGGTTAGTAACATCCAATATTTATAAATGACTTAATGTGTTCACAATAAATGAGAAAAAGAAAGAGAAAAAAAAAAGGAAACAATAATAGCACAGTATATAAATGAACATAAAAATTACTTAATTATAACTCGACTATGGTTTTTTGCGAAGTGTTTGCGAAACGTATTCAGACTTGTAGCATGGATATCTGCTTGCTCTAGGGACAAATGAATTTGAGCCCAAAACTGTTGTGCGCAATGGTGGAACTAATGGTGATATTTTAGTCCTAGGTAATTAAAAAAATAGTCCTAGTTTTGTGGTACATTGAATCTAAATTTTCTCAGTAAGCCTGGGAAATCTATTTTGTTCTTAAATAATTTGTACAAAAAGACGAGATCAAGCATTATACGACGGTTTTCCAAGGTAGTGTACTTAAAGTGTTTCAATCTGTTTTTGTAGGAAAACCCTTTTATACATTTATTGGCTGAGTAGGCTAGGTGCCAAAGATATCTCTTCTGAATCCGTTCCAACCTTAAAGAGTGACATGCATAGTGTGGTCGCCATACTACACTGCAGTATTCCAGAATACTCAGGACAAAAGAGTTGTACAGGAGCCTTTTTGTTTGCAACCTCCGAAACTGCTTGCCCATTCTAATAATAAATCCAAGCATGTTTGAAGCTCTTTTTTATAATACTCTCTAAGTGGGCAGCAAAGGTTAACTTTCTGTCAACTATCACACCAAGATCTCTTATATTGTCAGCTTCCTTTAATTTTATATCATTAATAAAATAAGCAGAGTCTAAAGTTTTCTGTTTTCGGGTAAATTTGACATATTTTTTTATTTTATTTTTATTTATTTATTCAGGATAACAACAGCTTATTAATACTTAAACAATACAACTTAAATTATTAATTAATAATAAATCTAATACAATACAAAATAAAATCGGTAAGAACTATTACTAAACAGTAACAAATTAGTTAATGTATTAATATTACCTTCGTGACGTACATATATATACAAATACAGATGTATATACGTACAAAAGACATACATAATTACACTACCGAACACGCACATATGAATCTATAAATGCAAATATATTTTGGTGTTATTGTTATTATGGAAAATAGATAAAAAATTAAAAAGAGACACTAATATATACATACATACATACACAGATACACACACATATATACATATACATACATACACATACATATTACACACACACACACATACATACATATACATACATAATAACAGTATTAAACGAGGGCACAAATATTAATTCGAGTACTATTTTAATTACAATTTACTGATTACCTTCAGCTGGATAGAATAAAAACTTGTTAATTTTACTTTTAAATCCACTTTTAGTATTATTAAAAGTATCAATTGCGCAAAATTTTTTGTCGTAAGTTGCTACTAAACGCGTTAGAACATTGTTTTTCCCATGATTAGTCGGGTGAAAGGGGATGTAAAACAAAGAGTTTCTGGTATGTCTGGTACGTTTCAAAGGGACATTAAATTTAATGAAAGCCAATAAGTCAGGGCAGTCAATTCCTCCGTGTAATATATCGAATAAAAGCCCCATATCCAGCAGAATACGTCTTTCTTCAAGCATTAACAGACCATAAAATCTGCAATCGTCTCGATATGAAGAGCCAGAACGTCTAAATTTAAAATTTAAATGGGAAACGAACTTATTTTGAATCCTTTCGATTTTATGAACATATTTAGCATAAAATGGCAACCATATCTGAGAGGCGTACTCTAATATAGATCTTACATATGCGAAATATACTACTTTTAGGCTTGAGAATTAGAAAAAGGAAGACAAGTTCTAGCTACAAATCCCGAATTACGAAACGCTTTACTGCAAATAGCATCAATATGCTCATTCATTGACATACGGGAGTCAAAATATACGCCAAGATCGCGCACCACCGTAGTCCTCTCGATTACAACACCATTGAAATTGTATGAAAAAACTATGGGATTATTTTTCCGCGTAAATGAAATACACTGACACTTACCAACATTTACCGTGATTTTATTAGCGACATAGTAATGGTATAATATATTTAAGTCATTTTGAATTAGTTCACAGTCCTTGATAGTGCGTACACGCAGATATATTTTTTTATCATCAGTATAAAGTAAATGTTGAGAATTTTTTATATATTGACATATATCATATAGGCGTTGTAAAAGAGAGGACCAAGGTGGGAGCCTTGAGGAACACCAGAGGGAACCGTTACGAAATTTGAACTATAACCGCCTAGAACCACAGCTTGAGAGCGGTTAGTCAAATAAGATCTAATCCATCTCAGTAAGTCCCCATGAATGCCGAGGGACTGCAGCTTCTGAAGAAGTATGAAGTGATCCACACGGTCGAAGGCTTTTTCAAAGTCGGTGTAGATCACGTCAACTTGACCTCCACCTTCCATTTCATGAAGAACGTAATTAGTGAAATTTGCAAGATTGGAAATAGTAGAACGCTTTTTCAGAAAACCATGTTGCGTACTCGGGATGTGTCTAACTATTGTAGCATCAATTTTATTAAAAATATGTCGCTCAAATATTTTAGCAATAGTACTGAGAATAGAAATTGGACGGTAATTATCAATTTTTGTTTTAGAACCTTTTTTATGAACCGGTATTATATATGCCTTTTACCAAAGTGTGGGAAACACACATTCTCTGATGGAAAGCTTAAAGAGCAACGTAATTGGCTAGCCCGAATAACTAAGGCTCTCGGCGCAGGCCGACGGAAAAACTGGAGGTACTCCATCGTAACCCGCACCCTTATAGGTGTCCAAGTTTATCAGACATGTTAGTATAAAATCCTGAGAAACGTCAATTTGAGAGATATCGTCACTCCATGGTTACACATAAACATAAACACATTTGCCCACATTTAGTTGCATGCCATTCCGTTCACACCAACGACTTAGACTATTTATATCCTCTTGTAATAATATGGAATCCTGTGTCGTTTTTATTACTCGTAGTAACTTCAAGTCATCGGCGTACAAGTACGGAGTAGAATACAAGATGCAATCAACAACGTCATTAACAAAAATGTTAAACAAAATAGGACCCAGGTTTGAACCCTGTGGTACTCCCGAATCTATGTCATATTCCTTAGAATTAAAACCATTTACCACTACAAAGAATTTGCGCTTATTCAGATATGAATCAAATCAGTTTAACAAGGTTCCATTAATACCATAAATTAACAACTTCTTAATCAATACTTAGTGCGGCACCTTATCAAAGGCTTTGCTGAGATCTGTATAAATTACGTCTATTTCCTGGCTAGCGTCAATGCCTTGCGTTAGAGTCTCAACAAAGGAAACCAAATTTGTGGCAGTTGATCTAGATTTCAAAAAACCATGTTGATGGACCGTGATAAATGGTTTCACATAACCGGAAATATATGGACATATCAAACTTTCGAAGACCTTAGACATTGTGGAA